CCTCTAGAAGCTTGCGTTCTGCAAGTGAACAGTGCATTAATGTGCCATCCCAAAGAGGCACTAAATCACCTTCACAGACTTTTAAATTAAATGTTCCCTCCTGGTGGAATGACCTGCCCACCTCCAGCTGAGTCCTTAGCTATCTTCAAGAATCGGCTAAAAACACATCTCTTCCAACTTTATTTGACCCTCTAACTCTAGCACTCTCTATTCTAATTATTTTCTAACTGCTTGTTTTCTTTAAAAAACAACAACTAACACTAGCTTCTCTATTCTTTTTGTATTCTATCTATTTGTATTCTTTTATTTATTATACAATTAACAAAAAATGAAAATCTAAATGTTAACTTGGCACAGACCAGCCAACCAACCGGAGTTTTTTTTTTTTTTTTTTCTTGAGATTTTTTTTTGCCCAGCAGGGGGATGTAATTGGTCATCTGATTCGTCTGTGCTGATCTTGGATAACCAAAAAATAGAGCATGTTCAGTCAACTTGTGGACTTTCACATACTGGGAATATTAACAAGCCAATCACAAATAAGACTGTCCAAGTCATTAATCTGGACATAAATATGAGCATCATTCCATTAACTCATGAAAACTCTTTCCATTAACGGAGGAACAGTTCCAAGTGCATTTCCACTTGAGCTTGGTCTGGCACAATATGATTACAAACCATTTCCCAGCACAATTCTCAACCATCCTGTTAGAATGCTTGTAGCAGGTGTGGATAAACCATCCCAAAAGTTGTGGGACCCTACCTGGCTTCCGATATGAAAATACCCAGGCTCCACCACTGGCTTGTAATGATGCAATAATGGTTTACAGTAGCCTGCTTACTCCAATGTTTACTTACTGTACATTATCACACTGTCAAGAACTCTTATGTCTCAGACATATCCTGATTTTTCAGCACCAAAGTAGAAAAAGAAAGCGTAATGGTGTTAACTGACCCGGATAAACATGGAACGGAATGAGGGTGAAAAATAATCTACGGCATCTTTCTATGAAGTGCATCATGGGGTTCTCTTATGACTTTGAAGGTTTTCGGTTTCTAACTTCATCCAAAAAGCTCAAGACACCCTGGAACTCTGTTGGTGCCAAATGGAAATTGGGCCCCAGCACTACAAACCAGAGCAAGGACTTTTGAGTGTCACAGTCCTTTATGAGTCCCTGACTGCCAACTCAAACTCTGCCTGTGTGTTACTGTATTGCTTGAAGTATGTTGTAAATACTGTACCCTTACTCTTGAGGAAGCCATTATTGAGTTGTTCTTCTGTGTAACATCATGTTCTATTGTGGCTTTGAAGGTTTTACATTTCCATTTGCATCCAATTGCATCCAACATGCCCTAGACAGCTCGGACATCTCTGGAACTTTGTTAGCATGAAATAGAAAGCAGGTCCCATCACAGCTAGATTTAATGAACAAGAATTTTGGAGTGTCCTAGAAGGCAAACTCACCAGGATTTGCATTCAGCCCAGATTTTGCATCCATCTCAGCTGTTTTCGAAACTTGATTCTCCATCCCCCTCCTTGGGAATGACAAGCTAACACAGTCCCCACATGACTGTCTAGCAGCTGGCCTCCTTGGTCAGCAGGAACAGCCTGCACTGGGCTTTTTGTACCTTATGACTACAGCTATGGGTATAATTAAGCTATTTATTGAGATTGAACTCAAGGACGTTTGGATATGTTGATACCATCATTGGATTATTAACAGCTGTTATGATGTAATGATGTTGAATTACAATGATACTCCTCCAGAAGTATATTTGTAGCAACACATCAGCTAATTCTTGGCTACAAACATCTAGCTATGATAGACAACGTGGAAGAAGGACAAGGAGGACTATACCAAATCAGCAGAAAAGAGATGATTCATACCTTTGGACTGCCTCGCACTGCACATAGTAGTTTCGTGGTGTAGCCCACAGTGGCAGCTCTGTCGCTGAGAGGCGCTGTGAACTTGGGAGCCTCGCTGAAATCGTGCTCTTTGTACTCCAGTGGTTTGTATACAATACCTACAGGACAGAGGACAACAACCTCAGCCGGGCCTGACAGTTGTGCAGAGGGTAGAGCTGTTACGTGACATTAGGAATGTGCAAAACTACAGGTTTTAAAAAGCGGATGGTGGGTTCCTAGTCGGCTAAATAGAGCCCCGGTCGGACATGTTTCATAGGGTGGGTGCAAAGCAACAGCAAAAGATGTTCGTCTGAATGTTTATATTTGTAGCAGCTATGAATTTAAGGCATGGGTGTCCAATCGTGCTCCTGGAGGGCAACCATCCTGCAGAGTTTAGCTCCAACACACATGTAGTCCACTTGAAGGAGTGAATGAAAACAAGCAAGGGGACACTGAATGTGCCGGAAATGCTAGATTTCTAGCTAGACACAGGAATTTATTCTGACAGTGCACATGGCGTTTTGCTATGCACTGCCTTAATTTCATATAAATTCTAATTAGGGATGAACTATTCAACTAGTCACCCAACAAACTACAGTGAGGTTGACTAGTTTACTTAGAATTCTCTTTATTTTAGTTTTGATATGTTTAGCTGTAATGCTTTAATTAGCATCATGCAGCTTGCTATGCTTTAGCTCATGGAAGGTAGCCCTTCAGATTCAAGAATGGACACCCTTGATTTAAGGGGAAAAGAGAATGATTGACCGATAATCATGCAAACTGTATAACAGCTAAGCGTCTAGCCTTTGAGTGTACATTGGTTGTACACCCGTTGTGCGATGAAGTGCATTATAGGATTGAATGAGTGCACTTAATAATGTCCACTATGGTCTTGGACACCACTACAAATGGCAGTTCCCTCAAATAGTGGCCTATATAAGCGTATAGTGGGCGAAGTGCCCTATATAAGGGCATGGGGGCAATTTTAGACAGCCTTTGATTAGCTAGTTCAGGTGTGATTAATGAGGGTTGGAGCTAAAATCAGCTGGAAAGTAGATCTCGAGGGACAAAGTTGCTTTAGCTGTTATACAGTTTGCATGATTATCGGTCAATCATTCTCTTTTCCCCTTAAATCAAGGGTGTCCATTCTTGAATCTGAAGGGCTACCTTCCATGAGCTAAAGCACAGCAAGCTGCATGATGCTAATTAAAGCATTACAGCTAAACATATCAAAACTAAAATAAAGAGAATTCTAAGTAAACTAGTCAACCTCACTGTAGTTTGTTGGGTGACTAATTGAATAGTTCATCCCTACTTAGAATTTATATGAAATTAAGGCAGTGCATAGCAAAAGGCCTTGTGTTTGCAATGCTTTTGAAATTACAGGATGGAACAGAAAGTTACAGCAGGCTGGAAGTTAAGAAACGTAACCAGTTCAGTGTCAGCTGCCTCGGTGTGTAACAGTTAACTGATCTTATATAAACTCATGTCTACACCTGACTGATGCATGTTGCTAAATTATTGTCAGTTTTGCAACACTGCAGCATAATCCATGTTGTTATGCAGATCCCATGTAGCTCTGATGTGAGGAATGAGAACTGTCATTAGCACTCAAGGCAGAGCCAAGTCTTATCTCCACACAGTGAGTACACTTATGTGCTGTCAGCGTTTGCTGCCAACAAAATGGCCTCATGTGTTTACAGTTCACTTAGTATCATTTATTAATATCAATTATATCAATTATTGTTAAGTTTATTTGTAGGCTGTTTGCAGTTGCCATGCACTGTAACAACTTGCCACATTTATTATTGACTGTGAGGTCATGTGTGCATTTATGTGCCTTCTGGAGTCAGAACTACATTACTACATTGCGAGAAACAGTGAGGTCTGTTCTAGGTCTGTTTACTTCTATCTGCCGTCAGCATTGCTATGGTTTGCGTCTTGCTTTGGACTTGACTGACAGATTGGCATTCTGGCATTCTGGCATTCACCAGCTTCATGCGTTCTAACTATCTCTACTTTTTTCCACTTTATGTCTGCTTATAATACATATAAAATACAAGAATTTTATATCAGTAGTACTATATTCATAATTGTGACCACACAGTCTGATTACATCTACCAATGTCTGTCTGTATGGGGTGACATTAAAGTTGTAACTTTAATAAGAAGAAATATATATTTAATTTACACAGTGAAGAATATGCAGTGTTTTTATACATTGTATTACTTTATACAATGTATGTAGCATTTCTTATTTATTTGTTCTACTGTAGTTTTATTGTTGTCCTATTGCTTGTAATTAGTTACTTATTCTTGTTTAATCACTGCCTGTTAACTTGTCTGCAGTGAGCTTGATTTTTTTATTTTTATTATTTAGGCTAGTAGTAGTTTTTTGTGATACTGACACTGGTGACAAGAATTATGAAATTTCTATAGTATCATTTTTTTAATATCATAAAGACCTAATTTAAAGCAAAAATATCTATATCGTGATATATATTGTTACCGTGAAATAAAATTACTCATATTCTATTATAAAATTTTGGTCATATTGCCCACCCCTAATGAATGTATGTGCATTTTTATTTATAGGTTATATATTTTCTTTACATATGAGCCCCTGTCCCTGAGAAACTCTCTGCACATTCCTGTATAAATTTGATTAATTGTAATAACTTTATAACTTTTACTCAGATCGGATCAGGGGCACAAAAAACCTGATCGGGACATCCCTAGAAAGACGTCTTTTATGCTCACCAAAGATGCTTTTATTTGATCAGAAATATAGTAAGAACAGGAATATTGTGAAATATTACTACAATTTAAAATAACTGTTTTGTATTTGAATATATCTTAAAATGTAATTTATTCCTGTGATCAAAGCTGAATTATCAGCATCATTACTCCGGTCTTCAGTGTCAAATGATCCTTCAGAAATCATTCTAATATGCTGATTTGCTGCTTAACAAACATTTCTTATTATCAGCATTGTAAACTTGATGCTTATTTTCAGGATTCTTTGATGAATAGAAAGAACAGAATTTATGTGAAACTGATTACAACGTTGATCAAATTAATGCATCATGTGCCACCCTGTTGAAAAAAACAGCATATGCTGGTTAGGTATGTTTTGAAGCATGGCAGTTGGTTTGAGCTGGTTTAAGCTGGTTATGAGATGGTTTAAACTGGTCATGTGCTGGTCCTAAGCAACTAGGTCCTGCTCAGGACCAGCTCAAGACCAGCTTAAACCAGCTACCATGCTTCAAAGCATACCTAACCAGCATATGCTGTTGTTGTTTTTAACAGGGCAATTTGCTACATTGCTTGGCAACAGCAAACAGCTTACAGTTAGGATAGTGAATGAACATGGGTGTATTTTATTATACTACTTATGCTGCCAGCAAATAGGCCATACTTTAGTAATTTTACCACCACTAAAATATGTTTGCGTTAATTTTACTTAATGAAAGAAGTCTGAAGTGCTGTGGAGTTAAAGCAATGAGATGTTGTGAGCTTACCTGTTTTCTGAATATGAGCAGCATTTTTTGTTACAGCAGCAGTCTCACTCCTTCCAACCTTGTTTTCTGCAAAAACTCTGAAGGTGAATGTATTTCCCATCACAAGGTCAGAGACTGTAGCGTTCAGCATGTGGAAGTGCTCCAGAACCGTAAACCACTCCTGCCAAAAACAGCAATCCTCTTAGTATTTTCTTTTAGCAGATATACTGTATGCATTTAAAAGGAGAGGACAGAATGATAGGATAGTGACAGGATGGAATGTTGGCTATTAATAAATTGTGAACGAGACTGAAAATATTTCCCTGTGGGTTTCATCCAATAAATAGATCGTAAACAAGCAGATTTTCATTACAGTGTTAAATATCAGTTGTGGTTTTGCCTAAAGTGCTTTTAGATGAAGTGTTTCTGTACTTCATGTTCTCTGCACATCTTGTATTCACATCAAGCTAGCTGTTTAGTATCATGATTCGCATCATGACAGTGAGAGTTATGAGAAGTCATCATGCATCTGTCAGCACTTTACACCTTCCCAACCTGATGATCTCCCGCCAAGAAGTCATCTGACCCATGCCTCAAACACCCAGATACAAACTTATAGATAGACACGTCATGTCCATATACAATGTCTCAAGACTCTTCATTTAGATTTACAGGTCTGACAGGTGGTTAAATTAAGCCTCGCTAAAGTATGACGACAAAAAAAGGCCTAGAGCATCACAGCATTCACTGCTTGCTGTCACTTATCACTTTGATAAGTGTTAAAGGGATAGTTCACCCAAAAATGAAAATTCTGTCATTAATTACTCACCCCCATGTCATTCCAAACCTGTAAGACCTTTGTTCATCTTTGGAACCCAAATTAAGATATTTTTGATGAAATAAAAGAGTTTTCTGATCCTCCATAGACAGCAATGCAACTACCACGTTCAAGGCCCAGAAAGGTAGTAAGGACATCATTAAAATAGTCCATGTGACATCAGTGGTTCAACTGTAATTTTAAGAAGCTACAAGAATACTTTTTGTGCACAAAGAAAACAAAAATAACTTTATTCAACAATTTCTTCTCTTCCATGTCAGTCTTCAACGCTCGTTCGCGACAGCATGCGTGTGGTGCTGCTGACGTAGAACCGAGACGCACTGTGGCTTGTTTACAATCAGAGGAATGCACACGCATGTGTCAGGGTACTCATGGTGTGAGTGCACGTCGACTGACACGGAAGAGAAGAATTGTTGAATAATCTCGTTATTTTTGTTTTCTTTGCGCACAAAAAATATAACTTAAAATAAAATAACTTCTTAAAGGGGCCATCGGATGCCCATTTTCCACAAGTTGATATGATTCTTTAGGGTCTTAATGAAAAGTCTATAACATACTTTGGTTAAAATGTCTAAATTGTCTTGTAAAAAACACCCTTTTTACCTTGTTAAAATCAGCTCTTTTCACAGCAACCCGTTTTGTTGCATTTCCCTTTAAATGCTAATGAGCTCTGCTCACCCCGCCCTCTCTTCTGTTGGGTGACGAGCCGTCCTGTTTACTTTAAGTGCATTTAGCTGCATTTAGCCAAGAAACTTGCTAACTAGCACATTATTAGGAAAGGCAATTTGCAAAGATTCATAAAAAACTCTTATATTCACTTCTGTAGGTGAAGCTGGATCATGAATGATTCGCGCAAACATAGACACATTTAGTCTACTCCTGCTCCGGCGTCGAAACAATGCAGGACTGTGTACAGCTCACTCAGGGCGGGTCTAAGGTAAGACAGCCGTGTCAATCAACTATCGTGGGAGGGGCCTGGGTCTGTGTGACGTCACACAGCCAAGAAGCTGAGAATGGCTTGATTTTAAAAAGGGGATATTATTTATAGAGATTAAAAAAATACCACTGGGTGGATTTTTATCATTTTAGGGTGGTTGTGTACACACACTGCCAACACACATTTAT